GTTGAAGATACAGCGATGGACGACGATGGACTACGCGCAACGGTACGTTATTATAAATAATTTATTCTTCTCACATAAAAAGCACCTCACTGTTACAAAAGTTGCTTTTTTATACATATTATCTTTAAATTCTCTTTAAATAGCCTGGAAAAAAATATCCTTTATATATGGACATATCCTATTTCTGATGATGTTTAATTAGATACAATCATATTTTGTATACCTAGATATAGAATGTGAGCATATATAAAGGAAAAATAATAATTTAGAATTAAATAATTGATTATGTTTCATATCTCTACCATGAAAATTTTTGAGAAGAATAAATTATTCTCTGCATGAGTAGTAGTCGCACTGATTTTTCAATATATCGTCACTCAGTATAATCTCGTAACTTTAAAACGCAAATTTTAGAGGAGAGCAGTTTAAAAGTTTAAAGCTTCATATAGTTTTCCTAGTTAAGGGATCTTTCGGTTTCACATTTTTACTTTACTTAGAAATATTTTTTTTAAATTTGGCGACCACAAAGAACGTGACTTCCTAAGTATCACTTATGCAATAAACTGAAAATCCGGTATGTGACACTTATGTAATTATACGTAGGGAGTGACGATGTATTCTTTTTTGATGAAATTTCCATATATTTGTATATTGTGTGATTTAAAACAATATTGTAATATTTCTATATATGTGCTTTTTTTTATTTTTTTATATATGTATATTTATTTACATTTTCTACATTTACTTTTATATTTCTATATCAATTTCTCTTAAAGTACTGATATAGAATCTTTTTTTGAAAACTTATATCTTTTTTCTACATCCACTTTTTTATTTCTATATCAATTTCTCTTAAAGAACCGATATAGAATTCTTTTTGGAGACTTATTTTCTTTTATACTTCTATATCAATTTCTCTTAAAGAACCGATATAGAATCTTTTTTTGGAAACGTATATTCCTTATATCTATTCTCTACAATTTTATTCTTTTCTATTTTATCTTTGCAAAAATATATATTTGAAATATATACATTGAAATATATATTTTTTCTATCTACTATAGAATAGAAATATATCTATCTCTTTGAAGTATACATGATGGGCTTTGAAGGATAGATATATTCTTTTTTCAATCATAAAATCTAAAACAAAACTCGGACGTAAAACTAAAAATATATTTTAAATAACACTTTCTAATTTTAAAACAACTGCCCCTCGCGTAAAATATTTGATGATAGATTTTAAAACTTTCTCAAGGTGATAGGTAAATAGGTATCTGTATAGGTAGGGATGCATATCTACAAGCCGCTTTGTAGAAAACAAATTAGGCCGGGTAGGTAGGAAATATGTTAGACCGAATAAGTAGGAAGAAAGCAAAATCATGTAAAATTAGGATCAAGGCTGCTATGCAGCCTTAATCCTAATTAATAAGGCTAGTAACGTTTAAGATATGTCAGATGTCTAAGATAGGTAGGTAGGTAGGTAGGATTATATATAACTATATTTATATTATATTGTATGTTATATGTAATGAATATGTAATAGAATTGTATTCTATTGTAATTTATAAAAAAATTGTAAAATGAAATTTGGAAATAGAAAGCACACTGATAAAGAGTTGTAAATTAAAAAGCAAAGCTATATTTCTTGGAATTGCAACTTTTCAGACATTACATTTGTATACCGTTAAAACACCTTTGTATAATATACATGGTTTTTTGTGTATTTTGTATTTATATGTAGTGTTTTAAAAAAAATAAAATAAAAATAAAAGTTTTAAAGCTAAGAGCAGCAAATGATGATACCCTACATGGGAGTTCACTCCATGAATTCTGATGCTGCTCGCTAAAATAATATTCTTTTCCTGAGTACCACATCTTTTCTTGTATATCACATTTATGTTATGTGTGGAAAGTTGCAATGTTTTTTTCTTATTCTTTTCTGGTTTCGTTTCTCATCGTCTTATCATGTGACTGGTCATTTTAAATTCCAAAAGAAATCAAATCTATCGCTCGCGAATGTACTTACACACCTGTAGAAGCGCGAATTTAGTAATTTTTTCTAATAATTGATATTAATAATAGCAGCAAGTAATGTCCCGAGATATATTCTTTTATTAAAAATTTTGATACTTGGATTTGTGCACATATTGTACAGTATCGAACTTCCCGCTTTCGACAAAGCGCGGAATAGAACAAATGTCCACGTTTGGACATATCGCACGTACCGACAGTCGCTCTTGGACATGGCTCGGTAGTTCCAATGTGCACCATCCGTGGACACGCGCTAGTTTACCGGGCGGTTAAGCTATTATCGCAGAAACTCTTATGGACCTAGTCCGCTCTCAGTCTTTTCCCCGATAGTACGGAGAGTAGCCACGGGCGCATTTTATGAATTCGAGTTCCCGAGCGCCACGATGCGGCACGCGTAATACACGTGTCTCGTAGACACAGCACGGAATAGAACCAGATGGAACCGATTATGAAGAAAAAGTTCGCGGACACGACTCTTGCCTGTTAGTTCCAACGTTTCTCGTTCGCATTTCGGAAACCGGTGGCGCCGGTCGCCGGCATTTTCCGCAACTTAGTTTTCAAGTCGCAACGTCACTTCCCAGTTAAACGTGGCCGCCTCGTAGCAAGGAGTGGCATCCGAGCGAGCGTCGCGAGCTGTCAAGCTGTGTGCTGGCCCTGAATAGCTCAAGTGTGTGCTAACGGGGAGAGCTTTTAATCGGCCGTCGCGCAGCTGATCGCTTAAATGACTCGGCGGGGTGATTTTTGAGCGCGCGTATCCGATTTAATTAAGTTTGTCAAAAAGTAAAGTTCTTCTAAATCGGAAACCGCCGGTGTCAAAGAAAGAGAAAGAGAGAGTCCGTTTTTGTGAGGCGGCGAGACAGAAAAACATGTCGTCCTCGGGCGATTTCGGCAACCCGTTGCGGAAGTTCAAGCTTGTCTTTCTGGGCGAACAGAGCGGTGAGTGTTTATAAACCAAAATGGTGTGCTCGACGACAAAAAAAAAAAGTGCGGTCAGTGTTTTTTTTCCGCGAAACGACGATTAGATCGATTTTCTCACCAACCACAAACCGGGGGAGAGATTGAGATCCGGTCCGCTCCGTAGGTCTGATCGGGGTGACGACCCTACCCGACGTCGCCTGGTCGCCTTCTAGGTTATGGATCAATATTTCCCACCGCCGCCGTTTGTAGTGACACAACGGCGTCTCTCTCTGTTGTTTTAAATGCTTTTCGTTCGAGTCGCGCGTTTGGCGTTTTTAACAAACACGCTTGATTTCGTGTTTGCGATCTGTGCTCTTTTTTTTTTTTTTTTCGGCGAATAATATTATAAAAATCAACTCGGAATCAGAAAAATCAGTAAAAATATCTGATTTTCTCACGTTTTCCCGGTTTAACGTGCAATAAAAAAACGAGACGTGTACGTTTTGCTTTTTTTTTTTTTTTTATTACATCAGTAACAATAAAATAGGTAATTCAGATGTTGATTATGGGTAAAAGAGTAACGTAAAAATTATTGATGTCTTTAAAGAATTATTTTGAAATAGAAATACGCGATTATAAAATGAAATTAGTAATTAAACTTTCGAAGAACGTTCGCAGAAATACAAATAAAAATTATATGTCATGTAATTTTACATTACAGTTGGGAAAACATCACTTATTACACGGTTTATGTATGACAGCTTCGATAACACGTACCAGGTATGTAAATGATTGATATCGATTGATAAAATATTTATTGGTTTAATCACAAATTCAGTTGATCAGCATGTTACAAATGTTAGTTGAATTTGTTTAATTTTATTTATTGTTTTACGCATATTGCGCACGTAATATGTAAAATATTATACATACTTTATGAACCTAAGGTGAACACACTGTATTTAAATATTTAAATATTTGTTGTTGAATTTTTATCTATGAGACACACGCGTTTGTAAGATTGTTTAAACTTTTAAAGTTTTCAATGTCCATAAAATAACGTTGTTTTGCAATGTTGTAAAATTTAATATATTCGAAAGTAAAAAAAGAAAAAAAAAGCTCAGAATGTATTCTGTTAAAAATAAACAGAGGTTTGTTCGCAACAAGTAGTGTAAAATTGTTTAAACTTTTAAAGTTTTCAATGTCCATAAAATAACATTGTTTTGCAATGTTGTAAAATTTAATATATTCGAAAGAAAAAAAAGCTCAGAATGTATTAAGTTAAAAATAAACAGAGGTTTGTTCGCAACAAGTAAATATTTTCTGTTGATTGATGAGCTGGTGCTGTCATTTATTGTTACGTGACTTGCAACAATAAATCTGCTCCTCTATCAATACTGATAAACCTAATACATACTGCATGAGGGCTATTGTGTTTGACTATAAACTGTGCATCACACACACAGTGCAGTAACTTCCAAAAGCCTTCACCTGGTGACACAGTTTCTTCTTAAATAAGAAATGAAACAAGAGAAAGGAACACTAGAGAACTAATACGCTGTGTATACTGTTGATTAATTTATTCAAATCATACACAAATTATGTGCAACATAAATTAACTATTTCTCATTTTCTTATATTTGTTCTTACTGTTTTCTCTGATTGATTTTATTTTTATACGTATGTGTGTAAACGTCTTTTGTTAATTTATTCAATTTCTCTGCACAAGTGATTTGCAACAAGTATCATCTGTGTGTGTTCTTCAATTTTTATCTCGTAATTTTTTATCTTTGCGTTGTACGCTTGAAAACTGGTTGGTTTTTATTGTCTCATAATCTTTCTTTGCTCAGCGTTCTGTGTCAAAAACACATTGCTTTGATTAATGAAACGATTGAAATATATTCTCTGAATTTTTTATTGAATATTGTTCGTTCCCTCGTACATTTCTCGTATTTTTCTCTCTTATCAAATTGTTTAAAGTGACATCTGCGCATAATTTCTACTTGAACTTTCTCGTATTTTGCTCGTTTTTTTTTTTTTACGTATTATCGGTTTTTGAACGGCGTTTTGAATATTTCAAATGCACAGAAAGTGCAAGGGAGAATGCAATTTAGCGAACGACGAAACCTAATGCTAGCAGCAGAGGCAGTAGAAAACCGAGTTATCGACTTTTTCTAATCGACAAGATAGAAAGAGACGAGACTGAGTAAAAATTTGTACAACGTCGATAATTCATTTCTCTCGTTATATTTATTGCAATCGCGTTACATCGCAGAGCGATTTTTATTTTTAAATTTAATGTACGTGTCGTGAAAAATTAGCCTGAAATAGAAAATCGTAGCAATTATCGAGAATTAACGTTTTGTCGAGTCACACAAACATGTGTAACAATTATATTGTTATCATTACGGTATTCACATTTTTTATTTACTTTCGGAAAATAATTGATAAAACAAAACGGAGCTTCATGTAATTCAATTATATATATTTACATAACATATTTATAAAAATTCATTTTATATTATGTTACATCACATTTTATGCAAATTTCTTTCTTATTGTTCCTTTAGCGTCTAATGGAATGCGTTTTTAATTGCCTTTTCCGCTTAATGAAAATGAACTCTGTGCGCTTGTGCCGCGTTGTGTCATAAAAAAAGTTAAATAATTTTCTTTGCCGTAATTGGACCGATGTGTTGCAGGCTACGATAGGTATAGACTTCTTAAGCAAAACTATGTATCTTGAGGATAGAACTGTAAGACTGCAGCTATGGGATACGGCGGGGCAGGAACGGTTCCGTTCTCTGATACCCAGTTACATCAGAGACTCCACAGTTGCCGTCGTTGTTTACGACATTACCAGTAAGCATCCGTTATATAAGGGATATATATACGGTATTCCCGTAAGAAGCTGTATGCCAGAAGTCTAGGATTTCACGTCGAGAGGTGTCGAGTTCTTCTTCCAATTAGAGAACATTAGTCGCAAATAATTTTCTTTCTAAAAATAACACGTTCTCTAAAATAACTTTCATTAAGAAGAAGAAGAATAACATCTCGGGCGAGAATTTATTGTTCTATATAATGCGCGTAATAAAACCAGAAGAGCCAAAAGTCCAGGGTGAAGATGGAACGTCGATTAAAAAACTTAAGCAGTTTTTAACAAGTAAACGTTTCGCGATATCTTTAATGTGGATCATCTTCAATATTCTGTTACAAAAAATTTTAATATAAAATAAAATAAAATAAACTTTTGGCTCTTCTGGTTTATTATAAGCGCATTATATATTTTTATTTCCTTCGAGCCGTAATCTTTTTATTTAATTATTGTCCTATCTTTTTTATATAAAAAAAACAAACAAACAAAAAATAGTGTAAATTATCGGCTACTGGCAAACGGTGTTACTACACTGAGAAAAAAAAGTTAGTGAAATAACAAAATAGTATTCAACTATATGCAGCGGGTCCACGGGTTGTCAATAAAATATTGATTAATGTAAGAAGATATCATGTTTCAATAGATATAATAATTAGATTATACCGAAAGACAATTTAGTTGTTTTAACAAAATTTATAATTTGCTTAAATACAGGTAACTTTGAATGTACAACACACAATAGGACAACACAATATTTTGTCTGCTTATAAAAATAAGCAGTTTGATTAAATGAAATACTTACACCGAAAAAATTATATTCTTGTAAGCAGAAGATTTTATACTTAAAAAATCTTCTTCAAGATTTTAGATGATATTCTTCTGAAATTAAGAATATATTCTTTATTTAAGAATATAGTCTTTTTCGATAGTGAGATATATATATGTTTTTCCATAGAGGCTTTTTATATTCTAATCAGTATATGTTCTTATCAATATTACTATTTAGAGGATTTTCCTCTTAAAATAAGAAACTCTTCTTGGCGCCTATTTTAGTATAAAATATACTTAAAGTAAGTGGGATATCCTCAAAACAAGAATACAATTTTTTCGGTGTAGTACAAAGAAATTCAGATTATATTCAATTAAAGTAAATGAGAATTGCCTATTTCATCTTTTTTAACAGTATCTTTTATTTGAAATTATCACAACTTATATGTTCGACAAAACAATTCATGGTTTAGTGAATTAAATAATGTTCATTACCACTATTGTTAATTCAACTTATACGAATTTGTTATCTTTATTACCATATGCTTGAATTAAAAAACCAAGTATTTCAGATAACAAACTGAAACTCAACTAAACGCATTTTGAGTTGAGTTAATAGTATTTTTTTTCTCAGTGTAGGGTTTAAATCCGATGAATGAAACTGTAAAACTGAAAAATGTTGTAAATTTTTGTGTGTGTCAGACGCAAATTCGTTTCACCAAACATCCAAGTGGATAGACGATGTGCGGACTGAAAGAGGAAGTGATGTGATAATTATGCTAGTGGGAAATAAAACAGATTTGAGTGATAAGAGACAAGTTTCGACGGAGGAAGGCGAGCGGAAGGCGAAGGAACTAAATGTGATGTTTATCGAAACTAGTGCTAAGGCCGGCTACAATGTTAAGCAGGTAATTGCTCTGATTGTTGTTTTTTTTTTCTCATCTCCGATATAGAGAAAGAAATTCCCAGAGCGAATGGAAGAGAGAGAGAGAGAAAGAGCGGAATTATTATCGTTGTTATTAATTTTAGCTGTTTAGAAGAGTAGCGGCGGCTCTGCCGGGTATGGACTCCACCGAGAACAAGCCACCCGAAGACAGTATCCTTTGCGTAAGATACTTACTGCATGCAATTTGCATGGCACTTTTTGCAGGAACGTGTTTGCAGCGAAATTTCTCTTATTTCACGTGTACATAATTCTCGCTCGCAATCACACCTCGTCCTCGAGAACGATTTATTATTATTCAGTCAGTTCTTCGTCATAATTTATTAATCACATCGTTTCCTCGATTCGAGATTTTCTTGATTTCAAATCACCGCATTTTAATTGCTTTTCTCAGTGTCTTAATTTTAATTTTTCACGTATTATTATTTTTCAGGGCATTTGGCATTGAAACATTTTCTTCGTACTTCTCTATCTCTAGCTTGTTTTTTTATTTAATACATTATCTCCACACAAGTGATATATATTCGAACTTTATTTAATATTCAATATTAACATTCTCTGATTTCTTTACATTATTCGTATATATTTGTTGAATCGTCGTGCCAAACGCATCTAATTTCTCATTCTTTGATTTCTAGACTTGGATTTATTTGATGACTAGCTAACCGGATCTTCCGTTTGTTTGCGTTATACTTTGTGTTTTCCTTAATACGTTCTTTAATCCGTAGTGCAAGAGGTAGTGCTCAAGGACACGCCAATCGAACTGAAAGCCTCGGAGAGCAGTTGTGCATGCTAAGTCGTCGTCGGCCTGTACGGTAGCAGGGTATCGAATCAAATCAAAAAGGAGGTCTTTGATAAGCTCCGAGTATAAGATCTGAACCGTCAGATTGATTTAGGAGCGGTTTGGAGACCTTCTTCGGGAAAAAAAAAAAAAAATGTATATTTGATTTTCGAGAAGAATTTTGTAAGAAAAGTTTTTTCGATTTTTTAGCAAATGCGAATTGGAATTGTTAATTCTCGTACTACCCCGTTGATTTTGATCATCAACTTCACATATATCCGCTAGTGAGAGAATTAATAATTTATTATATTGTGTAATAATATTGGCGATATTACTATATTTATTATTTGCTATTATTTGCGAGATATTATTATCACGATAAAAAATCGGAAAGTTTTTTCTTAAAAATCGTCTTAGAAAAAAATGTTATATATATATATATATATTAACGTGTATTAATATGTATTAATGATAATTAATTTATTGCATCGGTTTGCTTCGAAACAAGTCGGACATAACATTTATAAATTTTACTTTCGTTCGATGCCCTGGTTGATAGAAGACACTGACTTAAATTAACGTATAAGTTAATATATCTTTAGGTTAGAGGATACTGATATTTGCATTCGGCCTGTGCTTCTCGCGGTAATACAAAAAAAAAAGAAAAAAAAAAAAGAAAAAAAAAACAACCGGCGAAGACCCACGTGCACTGAACACCAACGATTCTTATTGAAACGAGAGAAAAAGAGTACAGTTCCACAACACACACAGTAGCTTAAGACTGCTTTTACACAATGACGTGTTTTCGTATGTTAGCCAATCGTATGTGTAGACACAGAAAGGGCTATTAACCCTTTTCGACCTTAAAATAATAATATATCACGTGTTAATCAAATTTATAAAGCTCTTTTCTAACGTTGCTGTATTTATTATTTCGTGAAGAGATAGGGGACTGTGTATTATTTTTTTTTTCCATTTGAAGTTAAAATCTTATTTACATAGAAATTTTTTTCCGAAAGAAAGAAAGGGTTAATAGAGCTTTTATTCATTAATGTTTCAAAGTTTATTTAAGCTTCTTTCGCTTGGTACCGTCAATTGTTTAATATCGTACATTAATTTTTTTTACGCATACAATTAAATGTATGATACATACACATCGACTTGCTCAAGTTCACATCATACGGATATGCTAGAAAAATCACGTTATTCGTGTTGTTATTTATTGCAGTTTTCAAGAATTGGTTTTTTTAGAAGATATTGTTAGTTTTACGTTTCACTCTTATATTTTTTCTCTGCAATAAATAAAACGACAGCTGCATTTTTGCATGTACAATATTTCGATCAATTGGATTACTGTGCAAGTTCGCGAATTCTAAGTACGTTGCGTAAGTGCAGTCCACGTGATATATATATATTAATTAAACTAAAATTTTTGTAATAACACACTGAACAGAGCTACTCTACCTAGCTCTGTAGTTGAAAAATTGTAGTCAAAAAACTCGACATATATTAATACTTGCTGATTCGACTCTGAGTCACACAAATTATTCACGCGGTATAAGACGTATTAAAAAAAGGAAGGAGAAAAATTTCGGGAAAGAGAGAACGGGAGAAACACACTTGAGGGAAATTTTATCACAAAAACTGTGAGTAATTAAAAATATTAGCAGCTAACTATATATTTTTTTTTACAAAATACTCTAAGCATAGCATAAATAGACAAATTTATACATATATATATATATAGTTCTGGACTTATTTGTCAATCATGGTATTGCATTCCTGTTTCTGAAATATTATTTATGCGTTCTTGACACACTATAACATCGTTAAAAAAGAAACAAAACAAAAAGTCTGTCCAAAGCTACATATGTAAGCAAAACGAACTGTGGAATGTAGATACTTAAACTTTTAATTTTCAACTATTTTTAATCTCTTTTGTTGACGATTTTTCTATTATGAATGTTCTGATTGATTTATGTAAAAATCTAAAAAAAAAAAAAAAAATATTGAGCATATAAAAAAAAAACTTACACAAAACTAATTTTTTTATATATTGATTCCATATACAGGGTGTTTCAGAACTATGGGATCAAACTTCTAGGGGTTATTCAGTGCAACAGTAGAAAACATTTGAGTATAGGGACCCATGTCCGGAAAAGTGTCACTACCGCACTACGGCCCTAA